ATGGACAGCAAGGGGTTATATATATATATATATATATAGTTTTATGATGTCTGAGGTATGTCGACCTGTGTATTTTAGTACCAGAAAACAAAAGAGTATCCCGGGCACCACAAGTACAACCTATGAAAAGCTGGCAAGGAAAGGGTTAACCAACCATGCTTGTACTTGTAGTTCCACAACATTGGGAGGGACTCAAAGAGGCAGGGTGGTTGTTCCTGCGGTTCTTCCTGTTAACCAGCTGGAACAAAACAAACCGCCCGGAGAGCAGAACTGCCAACCACGTCCACATATCATCCCCCGGCTTCGAGCAGAATCCACTCGCTATAATAATCACTCCTCGGTCTTCTTTATCTGCATCTCTCATTTATAAGCTCCTCCTGCTGAGTTTGGTCACATGACCGGGTGATGTCATCAAGGCTTCTTCTTCCATTAGAATCTACTAGTGACTGCCGTTCCCGAGAAGATGCTGCGCGCTCCCTGAAAATGTTGCGCAGGTTGTAATGCAAAGGCAAGAGGGAAGAGCTGGCTCCCGTGCGAAGTGATCTGAGCAGGAATATTCAGTCATCTGCTTTGCAGCCATCTCACTCCTTGGAGCTGAGTGCACGAGCTGGACACCAGGCATCACAGCAGCACTGCACAAAACACCTGCAGTATTTTTGGAAATAGTAGGGGGGAGGAGGTGTCGTCTATGGAGGAATTTGCAGCAGTATTTGGCACGGATACAGAGCTGCAAGAAAGAGGCAGCCATCCAGTTTGAAGAGGTTGTGCAGTGGCAGAGAACTTTGAATTGCGCTAGATAGCAGGTAGAGCATTCATATAGAGGAAGTGTCACCTACAGAGAGTTGTCATCACATTATTTCTGCAGTGTGCATGAACAAGGCTTGTGTAACGGGATAAAATCTGCAGAAGGCTGCTCGACTGAGTAACGTGCGTTACTAGAGCCCTTGTAGAGCTGTCAGAGAGGGGGTGTGAACATCCCATGCACATACTATTACCAGAGCAGCTAGAAGACAGCTACACCTATACTTTGACAAGGATAAGGTTATTGCAAAGGGGTGGGGAAGCTGAGTGTAGTTAGGAGATCCAGGTTCATTAAATCCCCCCTGCAATAAGTAGTGCCTTTGCAGCGGCATAGTAGTACAGCACCCTTGGCACCCTGGCATTGCAGAGGGGGTGTGTCACCGTTCATCTAGAAGTCTCTAGTATAGGAAGAACTAATCTGCATTGAGAAGAGGGTCTGTCTACAAGAGGACTGGGGACATCTTGGCACGGAGAGACAAGCCAAAGACTGGCATGGAGCTATCTGCAATCGGGGAGCAAGTGTTTGCAGTAGAGAGCATTCGTAAGAAGCGAATACGAAAGGTAAGACCTAAATAAATATCTTCCTACAGCCATGTCATTCTGTGCCCTAAAATCTCCACTTAGGCTGCCAGAACTTTTGAAGTGTCCTGGCATATTAGATTTACACCTGGTGAGAAAATATTGTCAGTTAGACTGCATGTGTTATGCATCATGTTGGTGGCAGAAATTAGACTGGCCATATGTTATTTACAATCAGCCTTGCAAAATATGAATGCTGCAGCAGAGATATGTAACCTGATTTGCCTTTCTCTGTTGTACTGCCTCTGTAAACAGACTGTGTTGTAGTTTGTATAACATCGCAGAGTAAATGACTGCCTGTTACTGGGTGGCTATGAATGGTTCTACAGGTGGTCATGTGTACACGCCATTTACTAGACTGTGACAGGCAATACTATTAAGATCATAGGATGACCTGATCCAAATCACAACTCGACTACTGCCTTTTTCAGGAAACATTGGTTTTAAGGGGACTAGTTGTAAACGTTTTCACTCAAAATTCACATAGCTTTCACGCAAGAGTCTCACATTTTTCGACTTGGATTCCATGCGAATCCTGGGTGAGAGTTGTGCGAATGTTGCATGAAAATATTTATAAATAACCCCCCAAGTGTTACTACTGTTACATTAGCCTTCCCATAATGAATAACACATTAAATCTTCTGTGAACAATGTAGCTTGCCACCTTGCATGTAATCCATTTGTTATAATATGCTATATGTTTAGAATATGTTAAAAGACATGCTAGAACATCAACATGAAATCCGGTTATCCTTGAAAGTCATTTTAATGCAGTTACTTGCAATCAAGGTCTGAATCACCACCCTTTCCAATATTTTATCAGGGACCATTAGAGAAATGGATTGGTTTGGAATACCGTCATATCAACAGCATTATTTTTTGTAATCTTTTTATAATGCATAAAGATTGAGAGTTGATGGACTCCAGTAAAGATACCATTTTTACGCTACAGGTGACTCACTTGCTGAGCTAATCTTTCTATAGGTGACTAAACCAAGTTGTGACTCACACAGATGACTCACAGTACAAATGTTTATTATATTATAGAGTGAACAGTGGGCCTAGTATGGATTTATTACCCAAAGTGTCCACTGTTAAATAGGAGAAGAGCGGAAGTGTGTGACCTCTGGTTTGCGTCCTTTTGTTATTGAATTTTATTCTGTCAGTTACAGTTGTAACGCTACAGTTCTTTAATTTATATTCAGCATTATCAAGATGACAGTGTTGTGTACATTTCATTGGTGTTAAATGAGTCGACTCCTTGGTAACAGATCTAGAAATTACATTAGATTGTTTCTTTATGTTTATTGGGCTTCTTATTTAAACGTGATCAGTGATAATGTATACCATCTATATCAAGTAGATAGTTTATTGAACACTCATAGATTATAGTTGGCTTGTTTTAAATTATCACTTTACTTCTTGATACATTGGGTCTATTAATAATGCAGTGAATGTGACTTTCACCAAACATTCTCTGGTGGAGAATTGAACACTGCTTTTAAAACACATGGACCTAGAAGATTCACCTGCAGAGAATGTTAGATTCTCTGCTTTATACATATGGCACGGTGTCACCTAGTAAAGGCATTGTAATTTGTCCTATGTGATGAGTACTGTCTCTGTCTCTTTCCAGGGAAAAGTGGAATATCTTGTGAAGTGGAAGGGCTGGCCCCCAAAGTAAGCTCAAATCACTTATACATATAGATATATGTATCTATAGATGTGTGTGTGTGTGTTATATGATTTATAGTTGCATTACTAGTCGTTGGCAAATGTTCTCAGTCCCTGCTTATTGAAAACGTAACACTACAGTTATAACTCTACCGTTTAACCTTTAACTTATTTTTACAAGCTGTAATTCAGCGTGAACTAAACACATGTTTTGTAAAGCAACATAACACGTGGTTACCAAAGAACACATGCTTGGCTACAACCAGAAACCTCTTTTGAATTCTCCCGCCTTTGGATCATGTGTGTAGTTAAAAGGAAGTGGCTTGATAGACCATACAAATGTGTTTTCTTTCTCCTCAATGGGATTCATATCTTAAATGAGATAGCTTTGTGCATACAACTAAGCATTTATCAATTATTTTATTACTTCTATTGTTTGACTGTACATTTTAGTTGTACTACTTCCAGAAAGCCTGGCATTTGCATTCAAATGGCATCTCAGCATGCACATACCACCAACCTATAAAGCAGCATAGTACACAGAGAACCAAAATATGCACACGAGTATATAAGACATACACTATCATAATATATGCATGGATTCTATTATCAAGAATACCTGAACTATTTAAATATTTAAGTAACTTTTTACAATGATCTTCTGCCTTCTCCCTCTCCTCTCAGCAACCCAGTCCCTATATCCAGACAGGTAAAAACATGGCTCTGTAGTGGCATTATTTATTAAAATTCAGCATTTTGACTTTTTTTGTGTGATCTGGGAGCTTTTGAAACATATGATTTACTAGTGATTGGGGAAAAATGTATAGGTAACGTTACTTTGTCAACTTCAAGAATAACTTTATGGCAAAGAAAGATGAAACAATGACTTTAGGGTGACGAAATGTGTTGTTAGGGTTAACAGCAGGATAGATACCCTATTGTCTAGCAGAATTATTATTGCTCAATAAAGGTCCGTCTCCATTCAAAGGAATGAAGCAGATGGGTATTTTAAAAAGAAGGAAAAATGGAGGTGTTGCCCGTGGAAACCAAGCTGGTAGGCAACACCCCTATTTTCGTCCCCAATTTTCTATCATACCACCTAAAAATGAAGCTTAAACAGAAATTGACATGTTAGTCCAAACCTTTTGGATTAGAAATGATATTGGAATCTGGGGAATCGAATGAATGAGTGCTTCGTTAAAGTGCCTTGCAGCGATATGTGTTTTATGTGAAGAGAGCCAGCAGAGAGCAGCGTATTCTCTTGGCATGGCACTGCCTGCTCCTAGATAAGGCCTGCCTATTGAATACGTCTTGTTTATCACCTCTAATCTGACTGGGGGAGTGAGAACTCAGAGGAGGGGGAGCTGAGAGAGTGACGCATGAGTCATATGTTCACTTGTTTACTTCAGCCTGTGCTGCAGTGTGCGCAAGAACAGCAGAGGAAAGGTGTGCACAGTGTAACCCTTTGTTTGTGTGGAGCCCAGCGTGTCGTGTGTCTCTGCATTTTACAGTTAATTTTACACAAAGATGCTTCTTATAGTAAGACGTGAGTTACATCTCAGAGATATTTTTTGTAATGCTGAAAATAAACCCTTATCTGGTATAAATAAACCTCTAGTAAGATGACGTTCAGTGTTCTGTTTTTTTTTTTTTTTATCTGTTCACGTTGACACTGTTGTGACGTAAGAAATGATGCATATCAAGAAGTTCTAGAAGAAAGCTGTTCATGTTTACCTTTTATCATAAAACATATGCCTGCATGTGATTGTTTTCTGTTTAGGATGACCATACAAGTCCATTCTTTGTAAGCAATGCACCCTGTTCAAGCATTGATTAAAACATTAACAGAGAATGTGTCTGTGGAGTTCTGAAACACGAGAATATATTTATATATGAGTAAAAAAATATGAGTATATATATATAAGCTGACAGCTTTTTCTCCATTCAGATCGGCATCTAACAGGTTACACAGCAGGGAAATCCTCCACGCTGTGTAACCTGTCATAGACGGAGTGCCTCAGCAGTGAGGAGCAAGTGAGGGACAGGGAGGCTCCTCCCTTCCTCCTTTACACTAGCTTGGGGATGGGTTGGAGACGGGGCTTCGGCCGGCGGGGGTGGGGCTTCGGCCGGCGCCGGGGGGATAGGCTGGGGAATGCCTCACCTGGAGCAAGAGGTACTGCACGTCACTGATATATGTGTATATACGTGTGTAATGTATATGTAGTACATATATACAGCACACACCTCCACTACACTCCAGCAATAGATTTACAACATTCTCTGTTAATCTTTATTTTAGTTAGATTAAGGGAGTAAAGTGCCTGTTATTAGGATGTACAAACTGCAGCACTCATTGGCACTGAATACATAGGTGGCACTGAATACATGGATTAATCATTTCATGACTCATACACTTATTTCTGTTGATTTAAAGGAGAACTATGAGGTGAGTGATTTTCACTCAACCTCATAGTTTGAGCCGACGTGTGACAATGAAACTGTCACACGTCGGCTCAAAGATCGGGAAGTGAGCGAACACATACCGTCGTTCGCTCACTTCTCGATCAAGTCCCTGCAGAGAGCCGTGACTGCCACTCATGGCTCCCTGCAGGGATTCCCCCCCTCTCCCCTGTCCGATCCTCCAGCGCTGACTGGAGGAAAGGACGGGGGAGGGGGCGGGTATAGCTGGCTCTGCCTCTAGATAGGCAGAGCCAGCTGTTAATCACGCAGCTGGGTGGATCTCAACAGTAATGTCGGGATCCTTCCTGGCTGTGCGGTACACTGAGCTTTGGGTCACGGGAGGACGCTAGTTTATGTCCTCGCGTGACCCTTAGGAGAACTATGGGGAAAAGCACTGACCCCATAGTTCTCCTTTTAAGAACCCTTTTAAAGCAAAGTAATTTATTTTAAAGCTTTCAAACTACAAATGTTTTACATCTAAATGGTAAATCCTAACTAACAAGAAGATGATCCATGGTGGTTTCTCATAAATCTGTATAAGAAACCCAAAATTAAGAAAGAAATCAGTAAGTAAGATGATTGATACCCACTATGCTTTTCATCATGTGTTGGAAAAAGGGCCATATTCACAGAACCAAGAACAATATCTTCAATTTTTGGTGCAGTTTGGGCAGCACTATAGAACATTGTACAACATCCTAATTACCATGACAGGTGGCAAAAGACTGAATAGTATGCAGTATGTATATTTTTGTGCAGATTGCAGTGGTAAGGAGCATATAACATACAGCCAAGCATACAAATTGGAATGACCAGGAGTGTTTAATCTAAAACCCAGTATACAAAGTGCAGAGGTCAGAAATTGGTAACAAAGCAGCCCAGTGCATACAGTGCAGGGGTCAGGAGTGTGTATCATACAGGCCCACAAGCAGAGTGTAGCACCACCTATAAGGGACTTCAAATCCTCCGACTTTTTATTTACCGCCAATAACATTAATCATTTCATTACTCCCCACCCTTCAGGACCAACAGCTTGAACTATTCCTGGCTCAATCTCTTGCTCTGTTATCCAGCCTCTTTCTTTTCCTGTGACAAAGTTTCATGGCTTTCTGTAGAGCATGGACCCCAGATGCAGGGGCAGCTTAGTCGATGACTGGTGTCAATTGTAAACACAAAGGAAGGCTCCCATCCTCACTTCCTCTTTGTTTATAAGCGACAGCAGCATAAGGCTAAACTGTCACTGCTTCTGCAGGTCTGCGCTAATAGAGAACACAGAGTACAGCGGCACCAACTACTCCTCATCACTTACCTCTAAATATTGTACATTAACATGTACATCAGGGGTGGGCAACTCCGTCCCTCCAGCTGTACTTTAACTACCTTCCGCCCATGGCCGTTCGTGAACGGCCGGACGGAAGTCTGCTAGGAGCGGGAGGGCGTCTTAAGACGTCCTGCCCCTCCCCCTTCTCGTGTGCGGCACTCAGCGTGCACACGAAAGGGAAAACTGTAAGAATGTAAACAGCCAGCTTGCTGAATACTGAAAAATGGCCTGGCTAGGAAGGGGGTGAAACACCATGGCCTTTAAGTGGTTAACGACAAATTCCAACATGCCACTGCCTCTGGGAGTCATGCCTGTAACTGTCAGTCTTGCAATGCCTCATGGGACTTGTAGTTCCGCAACAGCTGGAGAGTCGGAGTTGCCCACCCCTGATGTACAATATTGCTTTGCAGCCAGTATTCTTGATAAATCAGGTGTTAAATGAAACCTCTAATATCTTCCCATTATCATGTGACTGCATTATGTTACCAACTTGTCTCTGCAGGACTCCCTTTTCTAGCTTTCGTCTTTTGAATTATGAAGCAGAACAGTAGGATCACTATATGTTAATAATTCGCAGTACCGCTTTATATATTTGAAGGATTCTCCATTTCTTCCACGATATTTGTCCTTTCTTCCTTCTTTTTGTTTCTGCTTCCTACATTGGTTCATAAGCCCCCACCTTATTGGCCCCAATTCTTAATGAGAAATACTGAAATTCCAAGTTTAAAGGCAGTCCAACATTCTAAAAGAACAGCCACATTTCTAATTAGGGCTGCAGCTAATGATTATTTTCATAATCGATTAGTTAGCCGATTATTATCTTCGATTAATTGAATAGGATTTAAAAAATAATACCCTCATTTATGCAAAATAAAATACACAAATGCAGCAATTTACAATCGCACTGCACTGGAACGCAGAGCATTGCAGTACCACGCATGTGCGGGGGATCACACTGCGGACGGGAGGTGCATTTGATATCAATGGCACCGCAACGCACCTCCTGCAGCAACATTTGTCAGGCCGAAAATGAAATTAGTGGCAGTGTAAGCCAAAGGGGCTGAGAGGGCCCAGAAAGTAAAGCAGGTTATAAGGAAGAACCTGGCTTTTCAGGTTATAAGGAAGAACCTGGTGGAGCGGCTGCTGGGGGAGGGGTGGCAGCGGGGGATTGCAGAGTTACAGCAGTCTCTCCCCGCTCGTTCTGGCTGCAGTAGTCTATGTCCCC